GTATATATATATATATATATAGAGAGAGAGAGAGAGAGAGAGAGAGAGAGAATGGATCCTGTTCTTACCTCTTGGGCGATACGTTCCGTTGGTACAAATTCTGTTTGCCTTTTTCTGACAATTACGCACTCTACATTTCTTTTTCCGGTCTCTACAACCTCTGCAATTGCACTTATAGCCAAATTAAAGGCTTCCTCTTCACTCATGTCTTCCTTATAATTTTTTTCCAAAAATTCCTGCACGGTCTACACAAACACACAGAGCCCCCACCGACCCCAACACACACAATCCAATCCGAAGGTGCACTCACCGGAATGGGGTTGCACGCAACACCATAGAGGGAACTGTTGTGCCGCAAAGACGCCTAATGGTGCATCCACACTGTGCATGTACAGATTTGGAGCTGCATGCATGTTGCATGCATGCATGTATATGTATGACTTTGTGTCTGTGTGCCATGCGCATGCATGCATGCAGGCAGTGTGATTTTTACTTTTGCGTTTTTGCCCAGTGCCTGGGCCTTCCACCTGGCGAAGATGCCTGAAGGTTCTGTCTGATATAGGGTTACATTATCCTCTCCATCCAATCCAGCCAGCAAGATAGACAAGCCGAAAGGACGCACCCCCCCTCGGTGGGTATATTTCTGTTGTAACACCAGAAGCAGCAACAGGACTTAGCTGCTGCTGTAACAACGGAAAAAAAGCCAGAAACAGCCGCAAAAGCAGCACAGCCGCAGCACGCGGGGCGAGCGGAGGCCCTACATGTACCACAAGCAGCAGCAGCAACATGAGCAGCAACAGTAGTTACCTGTTGGACTTGTGCAATATACCTAGCCATGTAGTCTGCAGTCGGTGCGGTGTCATTGTTGAGGCGGTAGCTCTGCCCCTCAAGCTGAGCCTTTGATAGCAACACTCGAGCGTCCGCATGCAGTCCCGCGAATGCGCAGCACAAGCCGTCGTCCAACAGCACTAGCTTTCGACTTGTCCTGCAACCACAAACCCCTATAGGTCCGCATTAACCATAGAGCCCAAACACTAATAAACCCTAATGACGATTTCAGCTTGAATACGAACGACGCCTGCGCAAGCCCCCCAACTACTCTCCTGCATAAATCCTCAACCCTCAACCCCAAGACCTAAACCCTCAGCCACATGCACACGCAGACTGCAAGTGTCTTAAGTGCCGGGAATAATCGCTTCAGCATAAAGCACAGGATCTATGGTTGCAGCAAATTACATTACCTCGGTTCCTGTAGCTTTGCTGCTGCCTTCCTCTCTACTGCCAGTACGACGACATCGCGGCCCTTCACACCGACAACGCAACCCCCGCGCCTCACCGCCTCTATGGCGTACTCCACCTGTGCGCACAGAACCCCAACCCTAAATCACACACCCTAAAGTTAACCTCCGCCACCCCCTTTCCTCCATTTCAGCAGCACACCCACGGTTTTTACACAACCCCCAATGGGTAATGTCCATGCTACTGCTGTTGTCGTCCTTGACTAAGCAGTGCAGTGCGTCGTAGATTGCCGCCTTGGCGTGTGTCGCCGCTTGACCTGTAGCAGGTGGCCGTCGGGGGAGAAGACGGTAATAGCTCGGTCATAGCTCATCTTGTGTGTAGCTGGCTGTTGCTCCTGCTGCTGCCGCTGTTGTTGTTGTTGCTTGTGCTGTTAACTAATTACTGGCGGTTTGTGCCCAGCAACCTGTACACGGCAACCTGTGAACTGAAAACTCCCTTTCTGCTCCTTTGGTTTGAGTGGCAACAAAAGGCAAAAAGAAAATAACACAACACACACGGGGAGTGCAGAAAGACTAAAGGATCCCCAGTCTCTAGGGGAGTCGAGCTGTGCTGCTGTTGCTGTTGTTGCTGCTGCTGCCGCTTGTGCTACAGCCCTCTCTGCCTCGTTGCCGATCCATTCATGTCTTTAATAGCTGCAAGAATAACTAGAAAATTGAACAAAATGCATATAAGAGGAATGACGCTACACCGCAACCGTGGGCTCCGCGTGCATGCGGCGGCTGCGTGTACGGCAGGGGCTGTGCAGGCAGTCTGCAGTCATGCACAGCAAAGAGCGCTTTTTTCGTCCTTATATATGAAAGTATAGCATTTAAATTCGAGCGTAAGCCGTCAATTAAGATACTTAAAGACCTGTCGTCCGGTGTATTTCCCCCCGCTGTATCGGACAAACGCTGTCTGCCTTGATGGGTGGACACTGACGAGTACCAGCGACCATGATTATGTGTTGACAGTAAATATTCGTTGCTTTGCTTGTAAAGAAGTGTGTTTCTTTGTGAAAATAGATTATAATGGTGGTGGTTATTCTTCCCAAGGATCTTAGTTGGCTATCATCTGCCGTGCTTGCGTATACAACTGCTGTGCCCTTGGCGAAGCGCCTCAGCCAGGTTAATGCAGCTTCCGTCGAGAAATCCGTAGGATGCACATGCGACGTACGTACAAAGGGGAAAATTCGCATGCAAGGAAACTGATAGCGCACAGTTGTTTGAGCCTGGCACTACATGTGTAATCACACACCTGCATTGGGCAGGGGGTTCACTGCAGCGGAAGCAGGCGCCAAAGCACCGCAGGCAACAGAAGCGGCAGCAGCAGCAGGCCGCTTCAGTGGTAACCCCTTATAGGCAGCTTCGAACCTCTGTTCCGCGTGGAAATGAAAGCTAGACACATAATTCACTATATAGAGTAATAATAATTATTATAATTATAATAATAGTAATAAGCGGCGGATTGTGTTGGGGGTAGGCCTGGGTGAGGCAACAAAAAATGATGGAGGCAAACAAAATAATATGTACATTACAAATGAAGGCTTCTGGCATCGTGCTGCTAACATGTTGCCGGCAGGTGGGGGCCCCACACGCACGCACTGCACGTTGTGGGATGTAAGTACACCTCAGCTGCTGCAGACTGCCGGATGAGCCGCCCTTTTTCCTGCGCTGTTACACTATTCTGTGAATCATATAACAACTGCCGCTGCGCTGGGTTACATCCTTCAAACCAGGCACAGTGCCCGGAGTCTCAGCTGGCTGTCTAATTGCACGTCCACAGCAGAGGCTGCATCGCGCTGTTGGCTGCTGGATGTATGCACTTGCTGCTGCCGCAACACTTGCTGCATCTTGTGCAGCTGCTGCAGGTGCCCTAACATTAGTTGTTGTTGGTGCTGCTGCTGTGTCGAACGAAGCTCTAACCACTGTGCTACAGAGGATGTAGTTTGTAAAATATATATTATTATTATATGGAGGGGGGGGATGTAATGACAGTGGTAGAATAATTCTTTTGCAAAGAAAAAATAGCGGTTCGATTCCGCTTATCTCCAAAAACTGATATAAATAATTCTTAAATGCACATAAGAAATTTTTTTGCATTAAATGAGTTTGATCCTGGCTCAGGAAAAACGCACAAGACGTGCCTAACACATGCAAATTAAATAGTTTATTATTAACTATAGTGAATTGGTGAGTAATATATGAAAATTTAATTTTAGATTAGAAGTATTCTTAGTCACTTAGGAATAATCTCTGATAAGCACATTTATTTAAATTTGGCTTTTAAAAAGTTAAAACTGTCTAAAAAAAATTCATATCTGATTAGCTAATTAATAAGATAATAACTTAATTAAGGCGAAGATTAGTAGCTGCCCTGAGAGGGGGATCAGCCACCTTGGGATTGAAATACAGCCCAAACTCCTACGGGAGGCTGCAGTGGAGAATCTTCTGCAATGAGCGCAAGCTTGACAGAGAATCGTCGCGTGAAGGAAGACAGCTTATTATAGTTGTAAACTTCTTTTGCTTAGAAGTGAATGTTGACGCTTAATAAAGTATTGGCAAACTCCTTGCCAGCAGGCGCTGTAAAACGGGGGATACAAGCGTTATCCGGAATTACTGGGCGTAAAGCGTATGTAGGTGGTTTTAATATATTTTTATATATAAAAAACTATATATTTGTTTTTAGTAAAAAAATTATCAAACTAGAGGTTGTTAGAGGTTAAAGGGATTTTTTAAGGAGTAGTGAAATGCAAAGATACAAAAAAGAAGACCAAAAGCGAAGGCATTTTACTGGAACAGTACTGACACTGAGATACGAAAGTTAAGGCCGCGAATGGGATTAGATGCCCCAGTAGTCTTAACTGTAAACTATGGATACTCGGAAAAAAATATTTATTATATCTTATTCCTTAGCTAACGCGTTAAGTAACCCGCCTGAGTAGTACGCTCGCAAGAGTGAAACTCAAAGGAATTGGCGGGGGCTCGCACAAGCAGTGGAGCATGTGGTTTAATTCGATGTAACGCGAAGAACCTTACCAGCGTTTGAAATATTTATTTTCAAAAAATTAATAATTTTTTATAACTACAAATACAGGAGGTGCATGGCTGTCGTCAGCTCGTGTCGTGAGATGTCGGGTTAAGTCCCGTAACGAGCGTAGCCCTTATTTAAAGTTAACTATCTTTAAAAACAGCCAATATTTATTGTAAAAATAAGGAGAAAGGAATGAAAAACGTCAAGCCCTCATGCCCTTTATACTCTGGGCTATATACGTGCTACAATGGATGGTACAACAAAATTTGCGATTAAAGAAAAAAGTTTTTTCTTTAGTTCTATTTGGAAAAATAGATATAAATATATTTTAAAAAAATTCTTAGTTCGGAACATAAACTGCAATTTATTTATGTGAAGCTGGAATCGCTAGTAATCGCCGGGCAGCCTTAAGGCGCCGGAGAATAAGTCATCGAGCTTTGTACACACCGCCCGTCACACCATGGGAATTAATTATTTTTGAAACTTCTTTTTAAGAAAATAAATACGAATTAATAACTGGGGTGAAGTCGTAACAAGGTAGCAATACTGGTAGGTGTGGCTGGATAATATACTTACTTTATTATACAACTTATTTTATTGGCAGCTAATACAAACTTTGACCCACTTTTATATATCTAAATTGTGAGAGAAGTTATCGGCAAAAATACTAATAAATAAAATTATTGGGAAGATAGCTAAGTGCTAGTAGTAGTAAAGAGGGCTGTTAGCTCAGCGGTAGAGCGCACCCCTGATAAGGGCGACGTGCCTGGTTAAACTCCAGGGCGGCCTAACTAAATAAACATATTGCTGCTGTGTCGTGGCCTATCCTTTAAAGCTGTTCCCTCATCAGCATGACCCAACAAACTCGTGGCATCGAACACCTGCTGATGCACGTCGGAGCTGCAGCAGCTGCCGTCTGAACTGAAGCAGCTGCTGCGCCCCTCTATTCGGTGTCTCGGCTGCTTCGATCCGAACACCGGAGAGGGACGCTCCTCGAGACCCGGGTAGAGTTGAGAGCTGCAGCTGCTACTAATGCTACTGCAGCAGCTGCTGCTGCTGCAGCTGTTGCTGCTACAGTTACTGCTGGTACTGTTCCCGTGCGTCCTCCTCTTGCTGCCGTGCATGGGAGAAAAGGACTTCATCGTGGCTTCACTTCTATTATTCGCTGGTGCTGCTGTGGCTGGTGCTGCTGAGGATGCTGCTCGCCCTTGATTGCGATATGGTGGCAATAGAGGAATCTGCTCCAGCAGGTCGGAGTAAGGGTTGCTGGTTGTCTCCATATGTTTGCAGCAGCTGCTGTCACCTGCGGCAAGCATATCTTCTTGCGCTTCCACAGGGCGCAGGTTTTCTGCTGCCTCTCCTGCTGCTGCTGTTGGTGTTGCTGCTGCTGTTGTCGTGAGGTGCTGTTCCACACTGTTGGATGGCTCCTCGGGATCTATTAGCGCAAGCGCAACGGCAGCATCGTCATTGGAGCAGGCAGTTGGTGGCCTTCTGTTGTTGCTGCAGGCTTTTGGTGGCCTGCAACGGCAACACAGTTGCGCATCAGGTGTACAGACGGCTCCATGGCCAAGAAGTCGAGGGGCAGGCGGCAAACGATGCCTCACAGTGTCAAGCCTGCAACAGGAAGAAGACACGCACGACCCTAAGCAAATGATTTATACAAAACCAAGGACAAAGTTGCACATACAAAAGCAGCAATTCCGCAGCTCCTGTTGCAGCTGCACCTGCAGGTGGGAGCACGTCGCGTTTGCCCCTGCTGCTGTTGCTGCTACTTTCGCTGCTGCTAGTGGTCAGCTGCATACCAGGGGTGTGCTATTGCCTGGGCTGCAGTCTGTATGCGTCTGCTGGGGTTGATTTCGAGCAGGCGTTTGCAGAGGTCTCTAGCAAGAGGAAACTCTACAAGCGAAGCAGCTTCGAAGTCTATGCCTCCCTGCTGTGCCGCCACCTGCTCAATGACCGCCAAGGCAGAACGGGCCGAAGTCATTAGCTCCATCGGCAGGGGAGGCGAACCCTATGCACCAAAACAAAGACCGCATGAATGTATATATGCTTGCACGCAGGCGTTGATGCATACACCTGCGAAGGCTCGCTGGCGAGAAGGCTCGCCAATACGCGCATCGAGCTTGGCGGAAAAGGCTCAGGGCTCTCATGGAAAATGTGCTTGTGCTCCGCGTGCCTCTAGTGACCCCTGCAAACCCCCAACAGCCTTCTATTTCAGGGCGTGAAGGAGGCCCTGCTGCTAATCTACCCCAATACCTTGCCATGCAACATCTCAGCAGCCATAAATTCCAACCGTATGTACCCTATAGCTTCCTACCCTCTAGCCCCCCTTGTACACGTTGCTTCTCTGCCTTCTCTGCCAGTACAACTAACCTTGTGTCCCATACGATAATAATTACGTGGCCGTTTTCGGCAGCAACTTAGCACTCTTAAACGTCCCAACTGCTTCAGTCTGTATGCCAGATACCAGGCTACTAGCTATCGCCTATACTCATTATATACTATATATTATATATATATATATATATATATATATATTAT